TTTTATCATCATATAACATGATCAGATGTAAAAAAAAGTACTGAAAAATCTTACCATTTTCTTTTGTGAGCAATATGTTATATTTTTAAACAATATCATTTTTGTAAAATATTAGTTTATCTATGGTTTATACAAATGGAAAGTTTTCCTATCCACAGAGCACACTGACTGTTGAAAGGTCAGTCGCTCTTTGAGTCAGCCTTGACATTGAAAATATATCATTCGCCTTATGTGTTAACCATGTCATATTACATATATTTTTATAAATGAATTCTTTATATTGATTTTGCGGTATTGCGGATTATAATGAATTTGCGGGACACCCTGTATATCTAGGAAGTGATCGGCGATTTCATAGGCGATTTTTCCATCTGACATTAAAAAAATAATTAACATTGTTTATTTTAAGACTTGCTCGTGTTTATAAAATAGTTCTTGTTGTAGCTAAGCATGAGTTTTGAGATTCGACGAAAAATCTAAAAAGCGAGTCTAGATTCGGACCTCAACGTTGTTTAATATACTTCGCATTTTAAACCGTCATAGTATTTTTTAATATATCTAATATAATATATTCTATGTGAATAAAGTTTTACTGTAAATTTACATTTAAACGGCTTATAATTTTATTGGAATAAATGAACTGTATTCTAAAAGGGTTTTGAGTTTTATTATAAATAATAAGGAGGTAGGAGGATAAAATATCTTTTCATAATCTTTACATAATATCAAATCAAATAATCAAACACAAATTGATTAATTTTCAGTAATGGTAGAAATGTTTAAATCTATGTCAAATAAGGTACCAATTTTAACATATATTTGTTAATAACTGATTTTTACAGAATGTGGAAATTGATTATTTTCTTATCAATCGATCAAATGAAAATAACTTACTCTTCTATTCCAAACCGTTGCACGAACTAACTTAGCAGATGTGTGTAGTGTGTTACTATCTCTATTTATCAAAATAATGATATTAAATTATCTGGTATTTAATTTTATTAAATTTGCATAATATTTTAATTTTCCCCTATTAAATGGACTGTAAAACATCACTTATTTACACTTCCATTACAATTAAAAGACGTGGTGCGTTTGTAAACAAAAGCGCGCTACTACGATAAACTAGAATTATGTTTCATGCGCGCGCGTCATGCGCGTATTTCTGCGCGCGAGCGACTAAGCTGGCGTGTACTATTTTCCGATCTCACTATGTTATCCGATAGTTCTGGTGCTCAAGGTCCTTGAGGAGAAAAGACACCTTCACACGCTAATTCCATACAGTCATGACTTACTCCCACGCAGATTGCTTAAACTATTAGCAAAAGTTATTGTTATAGTTTGGGAAAAAATATAATAATCTCTAGTTGAATAAATTAAAGAGTAATTAGGTAGACCATATTTCACTGTTTTTATACGTATTTCAAACACGGATATGGAAAATTTGAGGCTTACTATATGTTAAAAAAAACAACTCGTCCTTCGTCATTCGACGCAAAGAGTATGAAATTCTGTACCCCTTTGCCTGATCCTAACTATTTATTAATAAGGATATATAGTAATAGTACTTTAAATTTGCATTATTAAACCTTTCGGCTAGAGGGAGCAGAATGATAAATAGGGCTATGCGATCTCCCTCCTGCAGCATTCGCCTGAGTTTGAATTCCGAAGTGACAAAAAGTTTTAGTTCACGAATTTAGCTTTAAGTGTAGTGTTTGTATTTTTTAGTTTCGAGGAAAAAACTTTTTCTTTCTTTATATTTTGACGGGGCCCTTGGTTGAAAACACTTACGGTCTTTTATTTTTTTGGGGACAAATTTGGGGACTCAAAAAGCTGATAACAATACCCCGTCTTGATGGTTCTCGAACCATCGAGACGGATCGCCGTTTTACATTCAAGTATTTAGGTTATCAGCCAAAATAGTTTACTCGCCATTTGAACCCAAGACTTCACGCGATTTATGAAATGCGTTTAAACGATTGATTCTCGAATTTCGATTTTTCCATGAAGCACTGATTAACGGTCTCTGTAGCCAGACGGTTAAACGTCTTCCCTAGCGTTAATCGCGGGTTCGAATCCCAGGGAAACCATGAATTGTTTCTGTCGCACAGTGCCTAAAAGTTTGGACAAACACTTGTCTGCCAAAGAACGCAGACGCAGATATGTGTTCGCCTCATTCCTACAGGGGGACGGGATTTGACACACAAGTTAATGACGATAACTTAGATATCAAAAACACACGATTTAAAATGTTATTTATTAATTGCTTAAAAATTCACATTTGAGCCTAAGTAATATTAACTCTTAGGCGACGCTAACGTACCATTCAATAACTTAAAATACATAATGGAAATTAAATAATTAATTAACCGTTTTAAACAATCACAGTTGCGCCTACGCTTACACATATAGGCTAGGAACAATTGAAATATCTAAGAGATATGCTCGCTAATCACAATTAACTTATTAAAATTGCTTTAAAATTATTATCATTAGGCGTATAACACGCGATTTTAATACTAGTGGAGATACGCTTTTCAAGCGGTGATAAATGGTTTTCAACATTATTAACATATTTTTAATCAAAGAAAACATGCATGCATGGGGAAAGATTCATATTAGCCACACATAATTATTGTGTTAATGTAAGTTGAACAAAACATATATAAATTAAGTTTAGCCTTTGTACAATAATATAGATGGCAAGGATTATACTTTCTGCATCTATTAAAATTAGGTAGTATTTTAGTAGAATAAAAAAAATTGTCTACAATAGAAGGAATATTTAAAATTTTATCTAGACCGTGTCTTCAACAAGTTCTTTTTTAAAGACAGCCGATTACGTATACAAGGGTTAAGCTCAAAATAATTAAATCACCACTAGCCCTTTAACACTTCCCACTGCTGGGACATGGGCTTTCTTACAAGGTTGTCTTGTCCCGCAGTGGGAAGTGTTATATACCTATATAACATACACTTATATATAATTTAACACGCTGACCATGTAAGCTAGTAGAAGGTCGGCTAACAATATTTTGATTTACCGTAGAGCATATGTATACAAACATAAATATATTCTAGCAAGATTAAATAAAAGACTTTTAACGGTTTAAAACGCGAAATATATCAGATATGTTATTTGAATAATTTTACTGGTACTTTGCAGTTGTCAGGTCATGGAGGGACTGCACGCAAATATATTACGTGTTTTAAACCCTTAATAGTCATTTACTTAAATATATACTCGCGGTAACTACGGACACTATTATGGCAAGTCTAAGAATCAAACCTCCAACCTCACGGATGTATGTCGATTTCTCATACCACTAGAGTAATACATCAAATAAATTCACTAAATTAAATACTTCACACATACTTTGTTTGTATTAGTAATATACATTATTTTATATGTGACGTCACACAATTGAAGTCGAAAATTCCGCTTCTAGCCGATAACACGTAAAATTTATAGATATGGCACTTAAGCATCGGAAAAATCAGCAATTAATGAGGAAAATACTCTGTTTGTCATTAAAATATAGAGACGTCATTAATTGTTTAGGACAACTTAATGACATATTTAAATAAATGTCTGTTTAACAAAACTCTACGGCAGGTACGCATTGCTTAGCATAGCGTTAGTACGAGTCGCGGCTTCGAAACCCTGGCAAACACTATCGTTTTGGCTACTAGCCTGCCCAATTAATTGATCATTAGTAATGACACATAAATGTGTCTGCCCCATGCCCTACAAAGGGAAAAGGTGTTTTAGATATATGGCAAAACTATAATTTTTCTTTAATATACAATTATCGCTTTGCAGCCGCCGTGGTCACGGGGAGACACTGCTAGTGTTTCATTTAAATGTGTACTACTCGCGTAAACTACAGACAATATTTAATGTCACGCATTGTAAAAAACAATAGAACGTACTCATACATGGCATAAATATATCTTCTCCATACCGCGAACAACATAACTATATTTTGTTTCTATATCTAATAAATGCTAGTAATTATTAAACAATATATCGTGTTGCCATAACAACATCACATCTCAACTATATCTAAGCATGAGAAATGCACGGAGTGGACAAAGCAAATGAAATCTGTACTTCGTCGATCTTGAATAATAAATTCTTACCTAAATGTCATCCTTTATTGCTTATAATAAAGTACGGTACAAAACTGGATTGCTTAAAATGCTTTAGCAAAATGTGAGTTTTCACATGTTGTTGCACATGCTGGTATTATATAAATTAAAAGTACTTTTAGTTAGAATATTAAATTTCGTCACGGGCAACACCATAGCGTGTAGACCCACTGTAGCTCAATCGGTCAGGGCAGCACGCCGTGAATGCCGTTCCTATTTTCGCAAGTGTCGTAAAATTATTTCAAACGAAATAAATTTCAGATTTACAGTTTGTCTGATCTCTCTTCTTCTTATCTAAAAAATAGTTCGAGAAAGAACTGCATGAGATTCTAAGAAGTTCCATTCTATATAAGATAAGTCATTAAAAACTGTTCAAGTCAGATACTTTCGTTTTTTGAGAGAGCCAGAAAAGCAAGAGGTAGATTGAAAGTTAAATACACCAGCCATACAACATTTCAGAAAGATGTCCCGTCGACCCTTTTTCGGCTTTCTATATTTGGAAATCCGCAAACTGAGACCAAAGTGCGATTATACCTCCCGGCTTTTTCGTGTGTGGGCGCTGCATTGTGACCTGCCCCATTTATTCCTACCACCCATTTATTATTTAGTTTTCCAGGCGATTTCAGTCTGTGGATACTTAAAGTTATTTAGAATTTTTCAGACGTTTCATGGCTGGGGTATTTTATCAACCATCAAGTGAACACCACGTTCGTCTGCCTTATTCTATCATAAAATAAAATTTAGACCAATCGAAAAAATGTGCGCCTGCGCATTTTTAATTAGCAACCCAGTTCCGCAGCGTCTTTGCCTATTCTGAGAAATGCAGTCTAGTCCCGCTTCACTGACCCTCAGTGCGTTGGTAGCGTGAACTTATCCAGGTGTGAGCTGGAAGGTCGACATCTTCCAGCTATCTTCGTGCGCGACAAAGCAACTAATGTAGCTACTCCGTGAGCAAACATCATGACGACAGCGCAAAGTGCGACGAATCCAAACGCTGAACCTAAAATTATTTATTGTCTAATTATACTTTTTTTATTTCTGCTCGGGTTGCCTGCGACAACGCGGCCAGGTACAGTCTATTGTTGTATGTAAATCTGTGTTTTGTGCACCAAAGTGTGAAATAAATAATAAATAAAAAAACCATCTTCTCATGTTTTCATCTCTCTAAAAGTTTTTTTGAATGCAACTTTACTTAAGTTGCATTAAAAACTATTTTTGGGCTATAATTTATCTATCTTTCTTTTTAATTGAATTCTGAAATTCAAATTTAAATCTAAAAGCTACACTTGGTAACTATAGCAACCAGGCAGCATACCTGGTTTATTCCAATCCAGCGCCGGATATATAGCTGGTAGACCAATCCTATCAGTGCCACCCACAGCCCAGTAGAACGCACTGAATATACCATACATAAGACCTGCGCCCGCGCCGAATATTGCATGAGCAGCGCGTATAGGATGAGCAGTTACTGACAATTCTAGTAACATCGCTAGAGAGTTGCAGCCGTGGACTAAGATGTTTAGGGCGTTGATCTCATGTATTTCTGAAAAACAAAAGAAAAAACATTACTTAATATTTTTCACGTGTTAGCATTGTATAAATTAAAAATTGATATTATATTGAAAAAACCTGACTGAAACTCTGTAATTTTATCTTCAATAATTTTCTTAAGCTGCAGATGTAAAATGGATTCTTACTTCAATAAGTTAATAAAATAAATTGGAAAAGCACGCCATCTAGCGGCGAACGTGAAAAACGCATGTAAATAAAGGTGTTGATGAAGATTTAGTATTGGAGACGTCGGGCAGAAATGGTATAGATAGGGCAATTATTGATATGAATTGATTTTTGATGACTGATACGTAAGAGTTTCTAATTGATTGATGAACTATCTGTGTCAGCGACTTCGTCCCCGTAGAATAGTTATTTTGGGCAACAAAATTAGTTTTTGCAAAACCCCTCCTCATCCCGTGTGTCTCGTCGTTCGTGCAAGTTAATCCATTTTTCATAAAGATGAATATCCCCATTTTTTCACATTTCCCGCTCTTTCTTCGCTCCTATTAGTCACAGCGATGTTTTATAGCCTTCCTCGATATATGCTCTAACCAACACAAAAATAATTTTCCAATTCGAAGTAGTAGTTGCAGAGATAAGCGCGTTTAAACAAACAAACAAACTTTTCAGTATATTAAATTAGTATAGATTACTTACTAGGATCATGAACTAAAGTCCAGTACACCAGTGTTATAACGAAGGATAGATCAGTAGCAATATTATGTGACAGCCAGTATACCCGGCAGAGCAGAGGAGTCTTCTGACGGCGTGGCAGCGGAATCTCCTCTTCATCACATGCTGAAATAAAATAGAAGAATTAAAATACTTTAGTTTATAATAATAGAATTAATAATGCTACTCGCGGCTCCAGTTTTAATAGTATTAGGTACTTTTTAATGCATTTCTTGTATCTGATTACGCAATACATATTTTCCATTGTAATAATGCTAATCTGTTTTCTTAATGAATATTACATCTCATTAAAGAAAAAAGTATACGTTGAGTATGAATTATTAAAGGTAAGAGTACTTTGATGGTCTGATAGTGTAGGGAACTATGAAAACATGATGGCATTATATTATTAAATAAAAACTAAAGACAAAAAGTAGCTCTATTGGTTACAGTAAGTTACAGTACGGAACGCTGTGGATGCCCGTTCAAATCTTAAACGTGTCCGAATTGTTTTTAATCTCAAATCGATTTTAGTATAGTAGAATGTTTGTTTGATTTTGTTTTTTGTTTTTTTAATTTGTGGACCTTCGAAGAAGAAAGTGTCATCCTCCTTGTCTAGGAGAGAATACAGAAAGTATTGTCTGTAGTATACGAGAGTCGTAAATTTACACATTTATATAAAACATTTTTAACGGTTTAAAATGCAACATGTATTATTTAACTTATTTACAATTTATATTAACTATGTCGCAAGGTTTCGAATGCTATGCAGAAGCTTTAGTCACGTGTCTTTTCGTTTATAGCACCGGTACTTCCATAATAAAAATATTCGCGTTTTAAACCGTTAAAAATCTTTAATTTAATAACATATGTCTTTTATAATAATAATACGTTTTATATAAAGATATATAGTAAGTATTGTCTTATTGTAAAAACACGAATTATTATTTTTTTGTTTCAGTAACACAAGACCCGAAGTCTTATAAATTGACAATGCACAGATACCATCTGGCGAAGCTTAAATTTCATTCAAGGTCTATTTGAGTAGCGTCTAGTTACAATTTCGTCGTTTTCGGTTATTGAGTCAACTTTTTATTGAATAGGTACGCATTATAATTTAAAATGTGTATCAGATAAAAAAAATCTATAAACGGAAGGGATTGGAACTCACGACCTCAGGTTTATTGGTATGGTTATTTACAGAGCTACCCAATCCATCTAATGTGCATTCCGTACTTCAAAACGATAGGTTGATACGATAGTTGTATAGTAGATACATTTCTCAACTTCTTGCGCTAAGAATGTTTAAAACTGCATCAAAATTAGTACAGTTATTTCGTAGTATATTTTGAACGTAGAGTTCTAGAGGAAGTAGAGTCAAATACTGTCTGTAGTTCACAATTAAATAAAACACTTTAACGGTTTAAAACGCGATATATATTAGTTAAACCTATTTGAAAATGATTTTAATGACGGCCCGTCGTTTCGGATGCTTTGCAGCAGCTGTGGTCACGGGGAGACTGAAGATGGAAGGCGTCTCTGACGACAAAGTAAAAAACTGCTACGCTAGCGCCATCTGTTGTAGTGGGTATTTGGCGAGGTTAGAGTCGTTTGCTATTTTATACCTGTTCCTGACCTAGTCTAACATATTTCTGTTGTTTTAATGTTGTTCAAAAACTGTTGTATTTAAAAGCCAATATTTATATAACGTAGCCATCAACAATAATACCAATTGTTATTTGTTAACAATATCGGCTGGACGTCAATAATAGGAATGAGGAACCAATAAGGATAATTGTGGTTAACGTCCCACTCGTCGAGTTTAATTGACGCGAAATTGTATCAATCAACTGCGTCACACGAGTATATTGCTCTCCCCTTGACAACGCCGGGACGAGGATATGGGGAAGTTGATACCAGCCATTAAGGAAATGTGGTTCACGAACGCTGAACCATCATAGAAGAGTTCTTCTTATTTAAAACGTAAGCTCTTCCGGTAAGAGATAATTTATTGCTTTCTTTTCTGATAGTGGAGGACAGACAATGAGTTCACTTGGTGGTAGGTGTAATACCCCGGCCATGTAACATCTATATAAGATGTGCTATCGACCTATTTTGGCTATGGATTCGGAAATTCACTGACAGCAACCGAAACGCGATTAAGCTTCACGGCTTTTTCATCTGTGAAGGGCGTTTAGTTACAAAGAAATTTCCATTGGCGGCAAGCCGTCTTTGCACTATTTATTTAATGTAAGTAATTTTGTAATACTTTGTATTCTCTTTATTTAAATACTGTCTATAGTTAACGCGAGTAGTACACATTTAAATACGTAGTAATAATGTGTACTACCATTTAAAAGCCCTGGTCATGGGTCAACGGCGTGACCACGGCTGCTGCAAAGCATCCGAAACGTCGGGCCGAAGTTAAAAATCATTTTTAAATAAGTTTAACTAATATATCGCGTTTTAAACCGTTAAAGTGTTTTGTTTAAATTATATTTATTTGTAAGGTAGTGTTGTATTATTATTAAGAGTGTGAAGTGAAATACCGCTTCCCAATCTATCACTAGTGGATAAATTATAAGCAGAATCGATTTTGCGTATCCTTGAAATATTCGAAGTTTGCCTTTTAAATACGATAGTCCTTCGAAAGTTTTACCGAATTAGAGTGATACAAGTTTCTTTAAGAGTAAATTTAACCTTATATCGACTTAATTTTTATTTTTCAACGATCGGACTACAGATTATTTAAGTACCTACTGTTTATGTACGTATTAGTGATAGATAGCTAATAAAAAATGACATTATATTGGGGAATATCTTTTTATCTATACTAATATTATAAAACTGAAGATTTTTTTGTTTGAACGCCTTATCTCAAGAACCACTGGTTCAAATAGAATAATTACTTTTGCATTGGTTAGAGAATTTACAGAACAAGATACACAAAAATATGTTTGAAGTAAGCTAGTTTATAATATTTAATTATTTTGTAACGCAATTATTACGTTTTTTTTTTCTAAAGCCGACGTTTTGCCCATGGGAATTTATGGGACTGTTTAACTTGTGCAAGTAAAGTTAACCTTTTCGATGGGCAGTCAGTCATGGTGGCCTTTTAATCTTTTTTATTTCATGGATGAGTACAAAGACACGCCATATTTATTCTATCATGAATTTAGATGAAGCACGTGTTAGGCCATACGAGATAAAGTGTCTCAATGGTAATAGAGACACGCGACGAGACAATGTGTATTAATTGTTTCTTAGAAATTGTTTGCTCATACGAAATTACGCGAGGCTCTTGAAGTCTTGACATTGGGAGCAGAGTTTGAACCAATAAAGCGGCTTACAACTTTCGATTTCTTAGTATAATTAGTGTCTAGAGTCATTAGGCTGTGGTCTAATATAAACGCTGTAGGTCGGCGTAGTTATTTCGTATTTAAATAAAACAATTTAACGGTTTAAAATGCGATGTCGCCTGAGGTTTCGGATGCTCTACACGGATGACCACTGGGTTTTAAACTGCTGCAAAGCAGCGTTTTAAACCGGTTTTACTTAAATGTGTACTACTCGCGTAAAGTATTTTCCAAACGTGAGATATTGTTAGGATCAGAGCTGTAGTTATCCCAGAAAACAACTGAAGGAAACAGAGTAAAAAATACTATAAATACATATCTATGCGTCATGGAAACGACACAGACGTGATAATTTGACTGCCTGGCGTCGTAGCGCGTTACGTAACGAAGTGATTTACTCTCTCTTATTGAAGTTATAACTTTAATAAACCAACTTTAGACAAATGCGTTAAGAAAATATGCGTAAGAAATGCTTTCATTTGTTTGAAATTCGTTTGTTAATGTGTTTTATTGAAAGGAGAGTGTTACTTACGTATGCAGTATGTCTTCTGATTCCTATATTTATGTACCACAGCCAATCCTAAGCCAGCTTGCAGAACTATGAGGAGGTAACCCCAGTTTGTGAAGTATATAAACCACTTGAAGTAGTTGAGTTCAACCTTTGGACCATCGTAATGCTGCGGTAGTCTTTGGCAGGCGAAGCTCGTTATGGCGATCGATAATACTGATAGGAAGAATAACCATCTGAAATAAGAAATATTTGATGTTAAAAATGAGCACAATTACTCGCTAATCTCGGGAACTACGGGTAAAATTATTTTTGTGTTAGTAACATTTAATGAGAGAAGCTATAGGTTATAAAACAATGCGCTACGACTAATAGGAGCGAAGAAACAGCGGGAAATGTGGAAAAAATATGGCAAACTATCCATCCTGCAGTTCAAGATAACCAAAAAATCTGTATAAAAGACTGATTCCTCTTTAAATGTCCGCGGCACTATATCTTTATCTTTTAAAATACTAACTTCTAAGAAACTATTCCACACGGACGAAGGCGCTGATACAGCTGGTTTATTTATAATTTGTTGGCTCTGGAGTTTCATCTAATCTTCTTCAAAGTCAAAAGTAATTTATTAACATAGGTTAATAAGAACACTAAAGAACGTCACAAACAAGAGACTCTAAATTTACATTTACCACCAGTTCTTAAGCCAAGGGCGTAGAACGAACGAGAAGAGCTGGCAAGAAACTCGCCGCCACTCCTTTTATCGCAAAGTAATTTTTCTGTTAGAGCAAGTTTTTTGACAACCTTCTATGAATACGTTTCTGTGAAGTTCGAAATTAACTTACCTGTAAACTAAATAATAAATAGCTGGTCTGTGTCCAGTCTGCCACTGGGAGCATGCGAATTGGTGAGGAGGATTATGTTCAAGGTTCAATCCACGTCGACTGGCCTGCCACATGCGACCCAGCATCGCTGGCTTACAAACTTTCTTTATTGCTGGAAATTGTTTGATATTTGTTAGCGACATTACATTACGAAATGAAGTGCTACTCATGGACCAGAGGTCCATGAGTAGCACTGTATGGCTAATGACCAAGAGGTCGCGGATTCAATTTCGGGCCCACGATGTATATATATTTAAAAAACATACGCAATACCATTATTTTGTTCTACAAAGTACTATAAAGGAGGGCAGACAAGCATTACTCGATGGAAGGTTAAATATCCTTCAGCTAACCAAGATGCGCGGTTGACTTATTTCAACTTTGCACATTACAAACAGTGGTTTGTTTGATTTCGAATAGGTAATCGTTAGCCGGGTAATGTATTTTTTTATAGCTAATTATTACGAACAAGTTTAACATGCTGATGAAAGGATGTATTTTTACACTTAATACATAAAGAGATTAAAAGATATATTCTATGTTTTAAAATATACATACTTAGTAATTTTGTATGTACAGATTGCAACAAAAATGTTACATAAATAAGGAAGCATTTAGTTTTATTAGACTCCACTAATTGAATGATTAGGCAATTATTGTAAAATATACTACAACTACAATTACTTGGCCTTAAATAGATTAATAAACGGACACAGTGAATAATCTTCTCAGGTTCGGTAGCCCAATGGTATAATATAATAATCAACGGGTCGTTGGTTCGATTCCCATCGGGTTCAACGTGTTTCTAATCAATTTATAGTTTTTCTAAAACATGTTGGAAATTTGGATATCAAATGGGTAGTAGGAATAACCAAATTCCGTGCGAGTCATGAACCTGATGAAGCCCACAGATGCAAAAGCTTCGAAATTTAATCTCGTTTCAGTTTAATAGGTCGACAGGGTATCTTGATAAGATGTTATATGGATAGAGTCTTCAACCTTCAATCCAGTAAACTACATGTTTGTCTGTCCTCCTGGATCATAAAGTTCGTAGTCAAATTAAAATCTCAATAACAAAATTGAGTATTATGGCTTTTAAAAAATAAGGTCATTGTTAAGACAGTTTTTATTCAAATATAATGGATGTATAATGAATGAGACCATTCAATGAAGACGTAAAGTTAAATGGTGATAGCAGAAACCTACAATACGCGCTTTGATTGAATAGAGGCAATTTTATCAGATCACTTTCTGCATAAGTAAGAAATGACGACATTTATCTGTGCTTTTACAGTCAATCAGTATTATCGTTAGTTTAAAAAAGTAGCTAGGAGTTTTCGCAGTTTAGGTTTTATGCTTTGAAGATTTAATAGTAAAGATATATAGCTTATCAACGTACGTTTGAAAATACGTGTTTCAAACCAATTTATATTTATTCTTAAATATGTTGGATTAAGTCTGAAAAAACTGGATGTTAAATGTGTGTGAATGTCGAAATTCGGTCCAGAAGACAAACTACCAGCAATAGATGAAAAAGTCGTGAAGTTTTATCGCGTTTCAATTCAGTCTATGGATTTCAACATATCCAAAACTCAAAATATCACATACGTGTTAGGGCTGGGATATTTCATTTTCTATAAAGTGATACTCATGCCTTTTCTTCTTTGTCATGAAATTAAAAGAATCATGTTGCCGTTGTATGACCACATGACCTTATATTGAAGACCAAGATTTCAATAAAGACGGAACTTTTTTTATATACATGCGTACACGCAGTTGGGCAATAGAAATAATTCAGGCAACCAAAAATTAGAAGACATCCGTTAATTAGCTTTTGGTACATTACACGAGTTGTGTGACGTCATAAGTGAAAGTTCATAATGGTATTTGTCCGCCGAGGTTCCGGTTCCGGGAAATCCCAAGGAAGCCATAAACTAATAAATTGTATAAGGCTTTCACGGCGATCGTTGAGCATATCATTGTTAATTATGATCATAATTCTTCGAGCAATGGAGGAGTTAACATCTCCTGATGATGCCGTCCGCACGTGATGGCGAAACGTCGAGAACCTCTTCTCGCTCACGTCGGCCGAACAGCCCGAAAGACAATGATAAGCCATAAACTATTTCAATCAGAGATCGAAGGATACATAAATTGAACATGTAAAATTGAAACTTAGTTGTATGTAACAAAACCATATAAAAAAAAAGTCTGAATAAAGCTTTTGTCGGAATAAAGGATTATTCTAATTAAATTTATTGTCTATACCGTTTTATTCAAACGGCTTTAAAATGCATAATTTCTATAGCCGTAGTACTAGCAAGCGGATGCTAAACACTGTAAATCGCAGTAAGTGATAACCGCAAGTATTGTGCACACACAAAAGAGCCATTACGTCCTACAATGGCGTACAATTTAAAAATTGTTATATGAAGGATATAACAAATCACAATCACAGATGAGGCGGCCTAGCATGCGCGCTTCGAGATTGAGAATGATACTATTTAAATAAAGCGGTTTTAGCGGTATGAAACGCGAAATGTATTAATTGACTCATTTAGAACCTGTTTTAACTACGGCCCGTCGTTTGGGATACTGCATCCTGCTAGCAGTAGCCGTGGTTACGTAATAAAGTGTTTTGCTTAATTGCATACTACTCGCGAATACTACAGACAATACATAATATTATGGTGTTACTTTCAACGAGATGAAAAATTGTTTATGATAAAGCTGGAGAAAGTAATCATTTCATCAGCTCACACTCACACCGCGTCCAAGTTAATGCGTCCAATTTGTCGTAGGCGCGACACATGTTTAAAAGTTGTCAGGCTAAAAACGCGACTTCGTATGACAAAATGATTAAAACACTACAAGTCATCCTGCCTACGAACGTAACAGTTGCGATGCTTAATATTTTGTTCCGGGCCTCAACGTATAAAGTTAGTCTAAAATCGCGAGAGATATGTCTAATCGCGCTTACTAGCCCGGCAGTACAAAACTAACTGATATAAAAGGATAACATCTTATTTTATAGGAAAATCGATCCATCCTGTTTACTCATGATCTGATAGGACTGGTAAAATTAACTGAATAAATTAAGTTCAATGAGGATATAAAATTCTGTGTCAACATAATCCATTCTATAGTACCTACATCAGGATCAAAGTTCATCAGCGCAATACGCTGAGGTCGCAGGTTCGAGCGCCGCCTGTGTCATTGAATTTTATGAATATATGGAAAACTACATGAAAATACCAATGATTCAAACGGGAATGCGATAAAAGTCAAGAATTTTATATTGAATACTGTCTGTTGTTTACGCGAGTAGGACACATTTAAATGAAACACTTTTTAAAACGCGATATATATTAGTTAAATCTTGTTTGAAAATTATTTTTACTACGGCCTGACGTTTCGGATGTTTTGCCTCCTGAAAATATCCAACCAATATATATATCGCGTTTTAAAGCTTTAAAATCTTATATTTAAACTTTATATTGAACAAAAATTACGACAAGGGCGCGACTCGAACTGGCATCCGCAGCGTTCCGTGCTGCTTATCTAACCAATTGATCTACCCTGTCTACACACGTCATCATACATATCTTTACCCCCTTCTTAATCATTTTCAATATAAATAGATTTTTATTTATATAATATGATGTCTTCTAATTTTTAATCTAAGCTTGCATTTAAGTACATTTATTATATTTCAAAATCTAAAAACAAATGTTTTAATTCGCTTTCTGTTGTATTGTACTTACTGGCTCTAAGTTTCTTCGTGAATTTAAAAAAAGTGAACAAATACTGACTGAATTTGAATTATGTACGTCGTAATCGAAATTGTATCCAAAACAAACATCCAGGGTGTAATTGCTACATAACAATTGATTGATGCTCGAGACAGATCAAGTGGTCTCCAATGACTGAATGCTAATTGGAGATTGTTACTACTGTTTGGCCACCTGCGCCGGTTACCATGAGGACATCTGTTTGTTCACAACAGCAGTAATTAATTGCAAGGTATAATATATTAGCTATGTTTGTGGCACTTTAACCCTTGCGCAGCTATAAAAACTACTAAGTGTTGTATATAGTTTACGCGAGCTGTACACGTTTAAATAAAACACTTTGAACAGTTTAAAACGCGAAGTATAGATTATTTAACTTATTTTTTGTTTAAATACGTACTGTCTGTAGATTACCCGAGTAGTGTACATTAAACACTTTTAACTGTTTAAAATGCGAAATATATGAAATAAAACCTTTCGTTTAACGATATATTAGTACTTATTTGAAAATATTTTTACTTCCCCGTTGGATCTTTGCAGCAGCGTGTACGGTGAAACTCGGGCCGAATTAAAAAATTTTCATAAGTTTAACTATATATCGTTTTAAACCGTTAATGTTTTATTTAAATGTTACTACTCGCGTAAACTATAGACAGTATGCGAAATATATCTTATTTTACTTGTTTATTAGTTACTTTTACTACGTATCGACGTATCGGACGCTTTGCAGGAGTCATTTTCAAGCATAATTATAAAAAAAACGGATATAACAATATTAACTATGCAGTGTATAGATCGGCCTTACTTTATATTAGCAATAGCGGTTAAGAAAAAAAACCGTTTATAACAATATAACTAATTAAATTTTTCATAGTTTGTATATCAGTTTATAAAATTTATTATCCTCGATATGATTTCGATGTGTACCTCAAGTTTAAAAAGTGTTAATCTGTCAAAGAAGACTTCCAAGTTGGTGCGTAATAAAGCAATTTTTTTTTTTCTGTGGATGTAAAAGAGATATATTTAACAGGTGTATTTAAATCAATTACTTAGCTGAATGGTAAAATGTATAGCCTTGCATTGCGTTAATTGCGCGAAGTCCTGAATTCAAATCCCTGGGGAAAAAAAGGGTTTGATAGCTATGTGATAGCCACAAAAGTCGGATCGACTACTTGCCCTTAAAAAAAGATTAGTGAAACGGACGCCCCAAACGTGTTGGCCCCATACTCCACGGGGGAAAACGGGATTTCACTACGTATGCATATGTTATGCGGCTATTCTCTACATGGAATTCA